TCTTTCGATCGGTTCGGTGATCGACATAACCTGTCTACGTGCAATATTTAACAATATGATAAAAAGATTGTTAAAAGGAACTTAAAAGAATAAAAATATTTTAATTATATTTTAATTATATAGTAAATATATTTAGCAAAATCAAAGGTTTCTGCAAAGTATCTTAATTATAACATAAAATGATAACAAATAAAATAAATAATAAAGAAGTATTAAGTACAACTATTTCAGGAACAACTATTCCAAATTTTTGATAATATGACAATTAAAAAATTTATTTAAGTTAGAAGTTTATTAATTTTTGATAAAAGCTTTGTTTTATAAATATTTAACAATAAAATTTTCAAATTTTTATAAATTCAAGTTTATGCAAAAAATTTGTGTCTAAAATTAAGGTTCACACAAAAGTTTAATAAATGTTGTAATAATAAAAATAACAAAGAGCAAAAATGGCCAACCCAATAAGTTAACCCATAAAATAGCAGAATAATATTGTAAAAAATAAAAAATTAAGATTTGAAAATACTGTATGTTTATAATGCGAAATATAAGAGGTGAAATAAAATACAAAGACAAAAAATATATATTTATAATGCGAAATATAAGAACTGAAATAAAAAACAAAGTCAAAAATGTAAGACTAAAATGTAAAACTACAAGGTCATAAGTGTATAATAAAAAATTCAAAAAAAAATTTAAAACAAATAATAACATAAAGTTTAAAATTTTGACAAAATAATAAAGTACCAGCTTCATAGTCGTTTTTAGCACTGCATTTATGCTTTGATTAAAATTATCAACTGTAAAAACTTCATATTCATCAACAGTAAGCTGACTTAAATTGGTTATTTTGTAATAATAATCTGCATGTGCATAACTCCAACAATTGAAATCCATGCATAAATCAGCTCCAAAACAAGGCCCTGGTATTTATCGCTCCAGATAGCCTTATTATTTCTTCCTGTAATCACTTTACTTAATATTGGATTTGATGGATCAGTAAATGAAAAAATAAAACTATCTGAAGTTTCATTGGAATACGGCATCTCCTTAAATTCAAAATATTATCCATAAAATTTAAGATTAAAAATAGAATTAATAACTTCAGTCTAATATGTAGGATTATATCCACCTATCAATTCACCTGTTTCTTTAGTCTTAAGTATTACAATAGTCGGACCTTGAAAATCACATAATTTATGAAATGTATTCTTATCAAAGCCATCTCTACTTCCTCGTAATAAAAGTTTAAACTTATAAGGATCGGTAATATTAGTATAATAATCACTGTTTTTTCGATCAATCCAACTTGATATTGTAGGTTTAATACCATTCGAAATTAATCTGGAAAACCCTCTTTGATAAGCATTATATTTGATAAATGTACTAGAATCTAAATGGTATTGTTTAATTTGTTTATCAATATAACTTTTAAGAATATGGTAATAACGAATTAAGGGAATGCATTGAGAAATTGTTTCTTTTAATACTTCAAATTGATTATCAGACCAACTATCTTCATCAGACAAATCCGAGATATTATCATCATGAAGTTTTTTAGAATTAGCAATACTCCACTTAATTAAATAATCTATTTCTTCAAGTTCAAGATCATCTCTTTTTAAAAGACATATAAGTGCCACTTTATCTAATAACGTAAAGTATTTAGAATTAAAAAGCGAATAAGGATTTTTGCAAGTAAAATTCAAAACAAGATTATATAATTTGCAGAAATGGTCATGTTGACAAGCAAAATTAAATGATGTTATATAAGATTAGAAAATAACCAAGAAGAATGTTTTTTAATTAAGTGTTCTTGTGCACATTCTGCAAGATTAAGAAGTTCAAATTCGTCAGATGCAGTCATTAAATTTAAACAAGTTTCAGCAGATGCTCGTAATATAGTTTTTTCTTTATAAATAAAACTTATAAAATTATTAAAAAAGTTTTATTAACGTATAATTACTATAAAAGATATGCAATTATATAAAGCATATTACTTAATCAAGAATAAATAATCCTAAAAGTATATGGATAAATATTTGGATTTTTAAAAACGTAAAAATCATGCTCCTTGTTATTCCATCGTTCGGATAAAGCTCTTTGAAAATAAAGTGAACGTGAACTTAAAATTGTTGAATGCGCTTTAAATTCCTCAGTATTTTGTCCATTACCAACGATTATTTTTATGTCAAAATCGTTATTACTATAAGTTTTTAAACTCTTTTTGGTCAACTTTTTGCACACTGTATGTATATACTAAAAGTGATTATCAATTAACGTTAATCTGTTGGCGCTACTATCAAATTCTGAAGTCTGTAAATTAAAAATCACGGGATGCATATAAATTACTATATACGTGCAGTGTTCTTTCAGTAAAATCCACAATGATTTCGTGCCTAATTTTTTATAGTATGAAAAATTATATATATATATCAGCACCTTGATGTTGTTTATGGCTTCCCTGATAATTTTTCAGGTGCAATGTAAGGTAAAAAAAACCTTTTACATCACATCTTGGTCATATCAATCGATTTAGATAATCCAAAGTCTTCTACGTACACGTGAATAATTGCTAAATAAAATGTTAACACTATGGAAATAAACCTCTTTGATGCATTTCGCGTAAATAACAGATAATATAAACAAGTTCTACTAGTTTATCAGCCCATTTTAAAAGTTAGAAAATTTTTTGTAAAGATAGTTTCTTAAACTTCCTCTTTTCGGCATACTACATTATGTATTCTCTTGTTTTAGGGCCTTGTAAAATTCCACGCTAATCCAACAATATAACATTTTCTTTACGATAGCATACGTGCTACATTCGCCAATGTTTACGTATAAAAAGTTAAAATAAATTACTAAATTATGTTTTGTCGGCAAAAGTACCAATTATAAACTGGTTTTAAATGCAGATACATATGCATGTGGTTAGATGTAAAAAATTTAAAATTACGCCTTTGATAGACAAAATAAGTTAACCAATGAACTAATCAAAAACGTAACTATTGATATAACTTTTGTATTACATTAAATGTTCTCCGCTAAACTCCGGACAATTAAAAGATTGTACTTTAATTAGTGTATGATTTTTTTTTCCTCTTTAAAAAAAAATGGACTCTGAACAACTTTGGAAACTTGGTTACAATTATCAGCATGGTATTGGTGTTAAGAAAGACGAAAAGAAGGCTTTTGAATATTATATGAGAGCAGCTGAATTAGGAAATTCAACTGCGATAAATAATGTTGGTCTTTGTTATCGTCATGGAATTGGAGTAAATATAAATTACCATAAATCATTTGAATATTGTAAGAAGTCTGCGGATTTGAATAATGTTATTGGAATAAATAATGTTGGTTTTCGTTATGAAAATGGATTAGGGGTTGATCAAGATAATAATAAAGCATTTGAATACTATAAAAAAGCTGCTATTATGGGCTATAGACAAGCAATGGGTAATGTTGCTCGATGTTATCGTAATGGTATTGGTACAAAGAAGGATATTGAGAAGGCAAATTATTGGTTCACAAAATATAGAAGTCTTTTGAAAACTAATAATAAATTCCCAGATAATATCGATCCTGGACTTAAGAGAATATTAGACGATGAGAGATTTAAATTAACTTGGATTAATTATGATGAGTTCAGAGATATCGATGAATGGGGAAAAGGAGGATTTGCAATCGTATATTGGGCACGTTGGTTCGATAGAATTAATAGTACGTGGTGGAATGTTGCACTTAAAGTGATTCGTGATTCAAACAAAAATGTGCAAGAATTTATCCAGGAATTGAAGAATTTTTGTGAAATTGGGTACGAGAATCCTTCTTTCTTGAACTGTTTTGGAGTGTCAAGAAATAATTATGGTGACTATGTTATTGTTATGTATTTTGCAATAAAAGGGTCGTTACGACAAAATCTTGTACAAGTATCACAATTAGGATGGAAAGATAAATTGAGTCTATTACATTGTATAGCTTTGGATCTCGAGTCGATTCATTCGCAGGAACTCGTTCACAGAGATTTACACAGTGGAAATATTTTACAAGAAGCTTTGAGTAACGCATATGTCGCTGACCTTGGACTTTCTAGAAAAGAAAAATTTGTGGAATTCTACCGTATATAGCACCTGAGGTTTTGGTGGGTCAACCATATACTCAGCCATCAGATATTTACAGTTTTGGAGTTATTGCAACTGAAATTTCAACTGGACAAAGAGCATTTGATGGAATTCCGTTTGATGATAATCTTGCTTCAAGAATTATCGATGGATCAAGACCTAAATGTTCGGGACCCGATTGTTATATTAAATTAGCTATAAGGTGTATGGATAGAGATTTTGATAAACGACCTACAGTAACAGAAATTGTTTAAATAATTACTCGTTGGTTAGATGAAATAAATCAAGAAGGTGATAATGAAATCAAACAACACTTTTCGGAAGCCAATAAGATTAAACTAGAACCAATTAAGCAAATACATTCCCAAGACGTATATACTAGTAAACTATATGATACACAAAAAATTTCGGATTATATTAGTAAACTGTCTAGTTCAAACAAATTCTCAAATTTATATTTAAATTAAATATGCGTTTATATACTGTAACATGCACTGTAATAATAATTTTTCTTAGCTACAAAAATTTTACAATCTTTAATCATACTAGATTACGGAGGTAAATGTTCTCTTCTCAATTTATAAATTTAGATTATTATTGTTTACATCATCTATGTTATGGTGGTTTGTTCCTTGAGTAGTAAGAAACTTTGTAACCAATTTATTTTATTTTATTTTTTTAATTGAAGCTTTGTCTCAATGATCATTTGAAATCTGTGCTTTTGTTAATAAGCTAGAAAGCTATGTTGAAGATACGTAGTTGCTTAAAAAACACTAATTACGTATGTTCAAGTTTTTTATAGTATGCAGAACGAAAACATCATACCAAGATATTGTTTTTTTTTCTTATTAAAAAAAAATTATTACTAGTTATTTATTAAGTCAAGAAATATTTTAGTCAAAATAAAATTTTGCTAATTTAGCTAAATGACTTTTAAAATTTCTTTTTTTATTTGGGCAACAAACCCAATAACTGCAAAATATGTATTTTTACAAATCGTTTAAGCAATTGAGAGTGTTATAATCCGTAGTATTTTTGTGAGCTGTGAAATTTTAGAAATTTCGAGGCATATTAAAGCATGAATGTAAGGTATACTTAATCTGTTAGGTATGCCACATTAATCAATACTTGCGTTCATATTCTTTTTTTAATAGCCTTTACGTATTGTGGTTGATTCGTTTATTAGATATACTGTAGCTATTTTTACTATTTAGTATAATTAATAAAGAACAGAAGTAAAAGTACGCACTAGTAAGGTAAAAAATTACAGGATAAGTAGTAAAGAAGAAATTACAAGAAATATTATACACCATATATATATATAAATTTATTGATCAATTGATCAATTAGATTTTGACTTTGTCAACACAAAATCCGTAGGTTTCGCCTAACAGGAAGTAGTACTTTTTCTATTGTTTGTATATTCTGGTGCTTTGGAATTAATTAGTAAATAATCCTTAAGAGTGATTCGAATGCCAATTTTAAAAAAATGTCTTTTTTGCCTATAATTTAATAAGTAGATATCATAGTTTTTCTATATTTAAAAGGTTATGAAAATTCACTTTAAGTTGTTTGGATATTGATAATCTACATTAAACAATTCAAAGCCTGAAATATAACCTGTTGTGCTGTTATATACTAACTGCATCAGGGCGTAGGATCGATTTTCCGTTCACGTGATTTCCGAACTAGCGATCGACATCATGCATAGACTTGTAATATTGGATTTTTTTTTGACACGGTTAAATATTTAGAAACGGCTAGTCAATTTTTTATTCTTTTATTTTTCATTTTTTTGGACAATAATTTGGTTTGCATTGTTAAATAACATATTTTAAAAATAAATAAGTTGTAACGCACATTAAATTCTGCTAAAACCAACTCTGCATTAGCACATTCTTTTTATGTGCTAACGCGAATTTCACTTCTGCAATCTGCATAGCGATTAGTGGGTTTCACTTCTGCAAATATTAATTTTTATAAATTAAAATTACCAATTCGGTATTGGGATAAATAAAGAAATCTAAATTAACTACGTAATGTTAAATTAATATACTATATTTAACTTTTAATCGAAAGTAATTAGTGAACTTAATAAATATCTGAATCGAATATCCAAAATTATTTTTTAAAGGGAAATGTAAACGAAGCTGATTAATTGTAAAATGAAAGAATTTTATTAATAATTATAAATTTTGTTCCATACAAATTTGATAATAATTCTGTCCCATATATCTCGTATATCTAGTCTAAATATAGTGGTAGTTAAACAAATCGCTAAAATATTACCTTGAAATATAGATAAAGCTACTTAGTATAAGTTTTTCGGTTTAATTATTACAATGCATAATTTTCCTTTAAATAATTTAAACTTATTGACGCTCGACACATTTGAATTAATCTCTTAGATATAAAAGCCTTAAAAAATGGAACGATTAATTAATAAATCAGAAAAAAAATTATTAATAGCAATTATTCAATAAATACTTATCGATTATATTAAAAAATTCACTTGCAATTCAACATTAGCTTAATTTCAACAAAATCGAAAATTAGTCATTAAGTCTTCTGTTTTTTATAATTTATTAAATTTTCTAAACCATAAAAGCAAAACACATATTACTTACCAATGCCTTTTTGTACTTCATGTTCACATACCCTTTCTTCTGAAGAATTTATATATGAAGGCAAGAGCTATAAAACTTGTGCTAGGTGTATGATTAAAATTAAAAGCAAACCTGTTGAAAAAGACAAATTATATAATGAAAAAACTATCATTGAAGTAATTTTTGTTCAAGATATTAGTAATTATATTGCTAATGCAATTGCTGATTTAGAAAATCATTCAAAGCTTTCACTTGCCTTTAGTATTTCTTTTGATGAAGTGACGCTTAATACTGTAGGTACAGATGTTAAGACAATGGCTAAATTAATAATTGATGAAATTGAGAGTGGGGATGAATATAATTGGACAGCTACGACTGCACCAAACCTTTCAGCTTATTATTATGGTGTAGGAAATGCATATTTTGCATGTTCTCAAAGTCAAGAACTTGAGTGTGAATATAAAAACTCAAACAGAAAAGGAATTACCCAGTTTAATTGTTGTGGCAAGATATCAATTAAGATTGATATCCCATTAGCAGAAGCTAAAGTATTTTTAAAACATGAAATATTACATGAGAAGCCCGCTGATATTGCAATGCCATCTGAAGTAAAACAAGAAATTGAAAAAAATTTAAATTTAAGTCCTACGAACTTACGGACCCACCTTCATAGTAAAAACTTTGATCTGTCAAAGATTACATATAAACAAATTCACTACTGGTGGTCGTATTATACGCAGCAGTTCTATAAAAATGATGAAGACCATATTATTTTCGTGTATAAGTTTTTTGAACAACAGCAAGAAAATAATTGTAACTTATGTTTTCATCTCGATACAGATAGCACAACAGCTATTGGTTTTACCACGTCTCTACTTTTGGCATCATATTATACAGAGATACATTGTGATGCTACTTATAAAACTGCCAGAGGTAGATTCGAACTTTATGGAATTGTTGGTAATGTAGAAGGCACAGGTTAGCATTTGTTTTATATATAAAAAAGATATTTAAATAAATTATAGTATAATATAGTAGATAATAAATTTAAATATTAATTTTTTTTTATACAACATACCTTGTAATATTTATATTGTTACAGGTTTTCCAGTAGTATATTTAATTTTAGATACAACTAAATCTAGCAACCTGAATCAAGAAGGATTACATACTGAAGCTCTTATAGATTTCTTTTGTGCTCTCCATTATAGAGGTCTAAATCCAGTATATTTTTATACAGATAAAGATTTTGCAGAAATTAATACTGCAAAAGAAGTATGGCCCACGTGTGATATACAGCTTTGCCTATGGCATGTCGAAAAAGCAATTAAAGAAAAAATTAGAAGTCACAAAAAAATAGAACATGTAAATTATAAGTATGAAGAAGTTGTAAAAGAATTTCTCTTTGTCGATTCTTCTTTTATATCCGATTTGCACTATAAAGATAATGACTATTATATTGTTTGCCTACCTAATCTTCGTGAAGCTATTGTTAATATGGTTAAAGCCCATTTTAATATGCATTCTAAAATCCCTATTAATATTAATGGACAATTTCTATCGACTACTGAAATAAGAAACAAAGCCATTTTAAAAATTTATAAATTTTGTAAAGCAAATAACCTTGTAATACTATAGACTTACTTATGGTCATCTTGGTATAAGCCAACAAGATAGTATCTTTGGGCATGGTCTACTTGAATAACTATACCACTTGGTAAGACCAACATGATAATTGAAGCACACTGGTGAGTTTTAAAACATTGTTATCTTTATCAATTTAATCGCCCACGGCTTGATTATCTAATATGGATAATATATTCTCATGTTGTACCTGATCAAGCTAATCGGCTTTAACAATTATTACTTGGTAAAGTAGTACCATCCTGGTTTGAAGAATTTAAAAAACAGTGAAATAATCTTTTGACCAAACCTCTTAATAATATTGAAGATCGCTATTTTACTGACCTAGAATGTTGGATTTGTAGTTGTTCATCATTTTTTCAAAGTTATTTTCTTATATATAAACATCTAATTTGTCAAGTATTAGATAAAGTAAAACCTGAAAGTATTCGATTAATATATCAAAACTTCAGACAACAAACTGATTATCTATTCTTGATTTGGAATAGTAGTGAATCACAGGTTGTATCTGAAAATACTGAAGATTATACAATTAATAATCCAATTAATAATATCATTGAGCCATATGATACAAATAAAAGTTATGAATATATTACTGCAACACATCAAAAACTGGAGCCTAAGGTAGCAGCATTACAATGTTTAGTTGATCATGTTAATGAGGAGTTTTCTGCAAATAATCTTCAACATGTAGAGGCTATTATTAATAATTTGGATCGTGCCTTTACAATCTTGTCAGATATTGAAAAGGAGAAAAATAAAAAATTGTATGTAACAACCTGGCATGGGTTAAAACCTTGGACTTTGCATTTAAATAATAGTGAAAATTAATAGAATAATTTTTTAATCAAACATAATAATCATTAACTTACATTGTTAAAGTAATTTATGTATCTCAGTATCTTTGCTCATTAAGTTACAACGAAATAAAAAAACTGCACAAAGTAATTATATATGTAAATTAACTTATTAAAAAATTTATTTATTAACTAAAAGACAAACTAAAAAAAAAATTATACATGATAAAAAAATACTTCTCTTTTTAGATCAATATTTTTGGGTTTATCCAAACAAATTGCAGAAGATACTTCTAACGTTTCTAATATAAGCTTTATCTGTTAAGTAAAATCTATTTAAATATTTCTTGTACGAATCTTGAACAAACCAGAAAAATACTTCTCTTTTTAGTTAAATATTTTTGGGTTTATTTAAATGAATTGCAGAAGATACTTCTAACTTTTCAAATAAAAGCTTAATCTGTTAAGTAAAATCCCTTCAAACATTTCTTGTACGAATCTTGCACAAACACAAAACAACTTACTAACGAATTTTTTTTGAATAAACGGAATAGTAACACAAATCAAATATTGTACAATCAAAGCCACAAGTCGGAAATCACGTAAACAGAAAATCGATTCTACACCCTGTCAAAATCGTTAAATACTAGGCTTAAGAATTACAGATACAGTGTAAGACTTGACAAACCAAATCTTTTAAAACATTTAAGAAAGGTACGTAACTGGTCTCTCTTGCAAGACATGTAAATCAAATTTGTTGAAAAAGTGTTGTTGTTACTTTAAGTTGCTTGAACTAGAAAGAGTCTTAATCCACTAATTATTAGGTCACTAAAAGTTAATTGGTATTTATTTAGTTGGGCTTAGTACCTTTATTATAGTATTTTTTTTTTCTATATAATATTTTAGAGTTTTATTTAACGGCGAGCTCTTAATGATGACAAAACACTATAAAACTCACTTTTAAGGCAATTTTTGAAGAATTAAGCACTGAATATTAATCATTGATTTGATTTTTCAGGAACTAAGTATAAGGTATAAGCTTAAAAACTTGAAGTTTGGCTTTCTTTAATGATACTTATATGTAGTGCTCTTAGGTCTGGTCTGGGGTCGGTCTGGTCCGGGTCTGGTCTGTGATCGAACCAGACTCAGACTTTAAATTTTACTAGTTTCGAACTTCAAACCAGACTCAAACTTAATTATGAGTCCAGTTCGGGTCTGGTCCGAAGTTTGCAAACTAGTTCGAATCTGAATATATTTACATACTGTATATATATTTTGGTGCTGAGCAAATTAGTCTGGTTTGAAGTTCAGTCCGAAGTTTGCAAATGTCTGGTCCAATCTGGTATATTTTTTTATAGCTTAGCTCACATGATGAGCTAAGGTATAAAAAAAATACCAGACTAGACCAGATATTGCAACATTCGGATCTCATAGGAGGAAATTCATCTGATTGGCTGATGTAAATTATGGTGTACTATAGATACACAAAGTGACATGTTTTGTGATTTAGTGTTTTAGTGTTTTAGTGTTTTAGTGTTTTAGTGTTTTAGTGTTTTAGTGTTTTAGTGTTTTAGTGTT